AAATCCAGTGAAAAGGGTTTGAGACTAGACAGAAAAATCTTGAAAATATGCAGATTATATAATTTATGATAGATAACCTATTTACAAAAGCAGCTGGGCTATAACAAAATAGTCCCTTCTTTTTTGTTTCTTTGTTTGCTTAAGCATGAAGATTCTTGTACATTTTTTCCCTCAACATAGCTATGTTCTGTTAATTAACAGGGTCTTCCAGGTCCCTTGGGCCCTCCAGGTCCCGCAGGTCCCACTGGAGAAAAGGTAAGTCTCAAGTTGTTACTTTATGCACTCAAAACCATGACGCCTGAGAGCTGGCTCTTTCATAAAGCTTCCTCTCTTGTCACGTGTGGTAGCTGAGCCAGCTCATTCCAGAGTTCTCCCCCACAATCTGCCCCCACATGGTGCCCAATATCCTAGACTTGTACTATGTTTTGCTACTGCTTTGGACAATAACCATCTAAAATCTGCCTCCTAGGGTGAACCTGGTCCTCGAGGTTTAGTTGGCCCTCCTGGCTCCCGTGGCAATCCTGTAAGTGACAGTATTTTGATGTTCTTTAGTGTGAGATTAAGTGAAAAAAGAATTCATCATTTTGTTTTGATATTTATATAAAACCATGCCTGTTGGTTTGACCTATTTATAACTTCCTGGTTTTTAGCTTTTACTTTTCTAATTAAACTTAATAAAACTATCTGCAATGCAATCTATTAAGTCTAGGTAGGCAACTCGTTTACTAAATAATTAAGAGGCTTCTTTTCTACTTCTGACACTGGGAATTTTGTTCTATGACCTATATGTTTATATCACCCTTAAGGGTCTTCCTCAAGCAATATGCATAATTTCTCTCTATATAAATGTCAAACTATACCAAATTTATATAGTTGTGTTATAAAATACTGTTCCAATTTAGCATAATGTGTGGAAGCTACAGTAATCTTTGTCTTCTTCTAGGGTTCTCGTGGTGAAAATGGCCCAACTGGGGCTGTTGGGTTTGCTGGACCCCAGGTATAATTTTCAAATATTCCTCATTTACAAATCAATACTCCTCTTGTTATAATGATGAGGTTAATGGGGTTAATAATCACTGTCTTATGTTTTGAATGTATATTAAGAATTCTATAAAATTTATGATTTTCTAAGGAATATTCTCATTTTCAATACATTTTTCATAGATTGGTACCAAAATTGATGTTTGCACTATTTGAGCTCATATGCTTATTGTTTAGGTTTTCTTCAAAGATCTCATTCGGACATTTTTTTTTTTCTACTGTGCCTTAATACTGATTACAAAGCACCATTTCACAATATATGATTAAATGATACGTTGATAATAATTTCTACGAACTAATATGCCGATAAGTCTTAAATCAGTTGCTTGTTTGAACAATTGCGTATAGGGTCCCGATGGGCAGCCTGGAGTAAAAGGGGAACCTGGAGAGCCAGGACAGAAGGGGGATGCAGGATCTCCTGGACCGCAAGGGCTGGCGGGGTCCCCTGGCCCTCATGTAAGTTTAAAAAAAAAAGTCACAACTTGAGTACAGTGTCTAATGTTTGCAGTGTATATTCAGCCTATTTTGCTTTACTGCAGTGCTCTTTTGTTTGTTTCTTTCTATTTAGGGACCTAATGGTGTTCCTGGACTAAAAGGTGGCCGAGGAACCCAGGGTCCACCTGTAAGTTGGTTTGATGCCCTGGGAATTATTCACAGCTAGTTCCAGATATTTCGTGCGTCTTGGTCATGTAAAAGTTAATCTTCATCTGAGTGGTAATAAAAAATTATCACTTGTATCAACTATACTGTAATGCAAAGGGCCCTTAACTTAGGTGAAGATTTGGGTTCAAATCAGTTTTGTAATTTTGGGGACCCAGCCACCTCATATGTAATATAAATAACATATTACCTATGTAAAGGGGTAAATGAATAATGTGAAAGCACTTTATATAATTTGATAGTATAAAATATTAATGTGATTCTAGTCCTACTTGTGTATGTTCAAGATAAATGAAAAGTAGAAAGACAAATATAGTTGCCCTTCCTACTAATTAATCTAGATTCATTTC